TCTCCAGTAGACTCACGGGGAAGTCATTTGGATATTTATCTAGATAAAAAACATATTAAATATGGTGTATAAAAAGGTACATTGCTTGCAACAACAACAGCCCATATCATTGCTGAAAACATTTCCTAAAAAAAAAAAAGTAGGCTTTGTTAATCTCCCTGTCCCAGCCTAGCCCAACCCCAGTGTGAATGTTTGCGGTGCTGCAAATAAAAATTCCGAAGTTTCAATTAAAAACTAATCTGTATTGAATAGCAGGGAGTAGGGCTTCACGATATCAGGAAAACTTGCGATATGCGATAACACTTTTGAATATTGCGATGACGATATCACTTGCGATATTTAAAGATACACTGCCAACATAACCAGACAGGAGACTATGCAGAAACTGAAAACATAAAAAACATGTATTTCAAACCAACAATATAGTTTTTTATATATATATTAATAATCACTTAGACAAAACATCTTAATTCCCACTTATATATTATCACCGGAACGACACACCAGGATACGGAAGAGGATTAGGGCCATATGAAAAAAAAAATTGGGGATGTGAAAAAATAAATAAATAAATGTGGTTCTGAGAAAATAAAAATGTTTTCTTTTGTTCTGAGAAAAGTCTGAATTTCTCAGAAGTAAAACAAAAATTTGGGAGAAAAAACAGAACAAAACCAGGACTATTTTTCCCTCAGCAAAAATATATTTAGCTATTCACACAAGAGGCCGTACACACAGGTTTTTCTCGTGCTCAAGTCCATTGATGTCAATGTTCATACGCCAATCATTCAGATCGCAACCAGGGGCCTCATTTATAAACGGTGCGTACGCTCAAAAGATGGCGTACGCCAGTTTCTAAGCAATGTTTGCGATTTATAAAAAACAAACTTGACGGGAAAATGTGCGGTCCTCCGCGCAAACTCTGACCCATCCGTACGCGGTACCCACAAAAACAGGAGAGACGAGAAACTGCGACACCGTTGGCAGAAGGACGAATGGAGAGAAATATGTGGAAATAATACCATAAATATAATGTTACCTCTCATTTATCATATATGAAGAATTAATTTGCAAAAATGGATTAAAGCCAATCTTAAAATGATTAAACAAACGCCTGTTTGCGACTCCTCAGTGCACACAAAAACGTAACTTGGAGAAATAAATATATACGGATGTTATTGAAAACCACCTCGAATATGTTGTTTTAATGTTATGACATGTATTCTCATAAATGATGCGGTATGCAGAAGGACAGAATTACGTCTAAACTGAGGCCGTTTTGCTTTTCTATAGGTTGTATAGATACGAGCATGGTTTATACCAGCGTTTCTCAAAGTGTGGGGCGCAGAGATGTGATAGGTGGGACGTGAATGGACGCGATGAATGGGATATTTTATTATTTTTTTAAATACATTTTTTGGACCTCAGGCCGGAATCGAACCTGGGTCCTCACGGGCGGTAGTGGACTGTTACAGCCGGAGACTCGCAACGGCGGTGGACTCGCAACGGCGGTGGACTTTCACAGCGCCGCTGCACGGTACCGGCGCTGTGAAAGTCCACGGCCCACCTATGCCAGAGCCAGCAGCCCACCAACGGCAGCGGCCCACCGGGAAAAGTCCCGAATCTCTCGATGGCCAATCCGAGCCTGCTCACACACACACACACACACACACACAACTGAAACCAAAAATATGTAGCAGGTCACCCTTGAAAAAGAGATCAATGATCTCAATGGGATTCACCTGCATAAATAAAGGTTTGAAATGAAATGAAAATGTAAAAATCTCTCATTCACACATGTGAAACGCTCTCACACACACACACACACACACAACAGCGTTGCAGTCGGGAAGAAAAGCAATGCGGAGCGGCATCTCACCACTTCATAAGGAGTTTAACCGTGACACTTTTCGAAATCCCGTTTGTGTCCCCCAACTTTACAAATAGGCCCGTTTATTATTATTTTTTAACGCAAGCCGTCATCGCCACGGAGGAGCACACAGCCTCTGTGAGCGAGCGAGACAGAGAGCGAGACAGAGAGCGAGAGAGAGCACACCTTTATCCATTTAATATAGCCTAGTTGTAAAAAATAAAAGTAAGAAATCATTCCAATGTGTACTATAGGACAGTTTAAAAAGGGGAATGATTAGTCAAATATGCATAAATAAAAAGAAAGAATGCTAACTAGGTAACATAAGATAAGAATAAACAAGTTTAAATGATTTGTTATTGGTTGTGATCATATTCTAAAGATGTTTGGATTATTGAAAAGTATACAGCTCTCTTTCATATGAGTGTTGAGAGCTGTATCCATAAATTCATGTTGTGCTCAAAGTGCACCAGATTGATGCATTTCACTTCAACATTTAAAAAAAAATCTTCCCGGGGTGCACGCCCCCGGACCCCCTAGAGGATGTGAGGTCCACCCCCAAATAAAGCAGGTTAAAATAATTAAATGTAATACATTTTATTTTAGTAAACACTGAAAACAGGTCCCACAGTAAAAGTAGCTCACGACTTGTTTTATTTTTTGAAAGTAGCTCTCATCCTAAAAAAGGTTGGAGACCCCTGTTATAGAACGATACATTTGACAATTTTAAGCTTGGCCTACCATTTTATTGGAGCGATGAGGAACAGGTGGGGCTTGAAAAGGCCCACCTGTTCAAAGTGGGGAATGACAGGAAAAGTTTGAGAACCACTGGTTTATACTATCATGTTTAATCATGTTTTATGCCATTTGATAAGACTTGATAAGTCGCTCATAAAACACAGGAGGTATGGAAACTAAGAACACCATATATTTGGTAGATTTGGCAGCTGATATTACACAACACATTTGTTTTATTTTATTTAAGTGGTGGATAGAGTTGCTGCGGGGGGTTAAGACGCACAGGCTGCAGTGGAGACGCTGCGCACAGCTGATCGACAGCTGGAACACAAACCACCAAATTAAAAAAAATTATGTATTGACTCCACTCCACAGGGATCCCCCGATACTTTCTTACAGTTTCTCATCATGTGGGGGGGGGGGGGGGGGGGGGGGGGGGGGGGGGGGTCTCCTGTCCCCGGCACAAACACACTGACTGCCATGTGTATTTTGTCATTAACTTTTTTCGGACCACCCTTATTTAGGTGACGATCCGACCTCCATGCTGCTACTCTGGTTCAAACTGCATCCACCAAACAATATGATTTGTCTCCACCTCCCCAAAAGAACCAAAATCTGACACGGTGTGAGATGTCTTTTTTAGCTGTTCTGTCGTCATTTCCTGCGATCTTCTTCCTGCAGTCAGTCAAAATGAATATTAATACGGGGCGTTTCTTTGACTATTTATAGGCAAATATGCGCGTTACGTGAAGCCCGCAAAAGCTGTGCCGCATTTCGAGTTGATTGTGATTCATAAAGGGAAACCGGCGTAGGACGTGCGTGCGCAATGTTTTATAAATCGGAAAATGTCTGTGCGTATTTATTTGATTTGTCCTACGTAAGCAACCTTCCCACGTGAACCCTATGCAAGGCTTTCTAAATGAGGCCCCTGGGCACTACGGCTGTGCCCATAGTAAAAAATTGTTCAACTTTTTAAAGTTTGACCGGTCATCGGGGCTCTTTTTCATAAAAAATCTGATTAGGCGCTTTCACACCGGTTCCAATTTCTGATTGGCTGGGCAAATTGCAAACCACGCCCCCTAAAACTCAGAAAGGTTTTTGTGAAGCCGCCATTTTATTTGCTCGCATTAGCATTATTAGCATTAGCCCAGCGCACCAACGGAGAGAGACTAACTTATGGCAACACAAAAGAAAACATGGGAGCGGTGGAGTAATGAGGAGGTGTCGGCGCTTCTGGCGATTTACTCGGAAGGCTTCAGTAGAAGCTGCTGGGACTCCCAGCAGCTTCTACTGAAGCCAGTCCCCAACTCCGGGGACTTCCGGCCGGGAACTTCGGGTGGCAGTATACGCCGTGAAGTTGTTTGTGGCCTGCCAGTAAACCCAAAGCAGAAGAAGAAGTGACGTCAGCGGCTCCCTCAGGGACTTATTCCGGTGTGAACGCGATTTACTAGATAGTTCCAGGAAATAAACGTTCCGGGAACTATTCCTGGGAAAAGTACTTGGTGTGAAAGCGCCTATTATGAACCAAGTGTTTTGTGTGAAGTTGGGAGTCTTTCAGCACGGTGGTTGTACTGTAGTAGCATCTGTCGTTTTAGCAGATATTATGAATGTAAACATTAGCCAGCCGCCCGCAAGTAACTGCGCTGCCGTGGCACATCTCAGAAGCACTCCTGTTGTGTGTCATGTCTTGCGAAAAACCCGCTAATAAAACTGAAACTGACTTGAAACTAAAATACTTCAAAATATCAGACGTGCTGTCTCATTTACATACGAGTTCTTCTCCTGCATGTTGTACCCCAATATTTTCCTCACCCGTCTCTCTTCCTTCTCTTTATCACATCAATAGCGTGACCTCTATATGGGGGGGCGGGACATCTAGAGCAGTAAGGCTTCATCTGATTGGTCAATGCAATGTTTTCTATCGCAAATGTATATATCGGGATGACGATAGATTTCCGATATATTGTGCCGCCCTAGCCGGGAGTTAGCTTTTTAACAGAGGTTGCAAATTACTTTTCTTTGCATGACTCTTTCGAGGAGCAAAAACGGCTAACATGAACATTTACATTTCTATGTTCGCAACAACAAAAAGTCAGAATAAGCACAACGTAATGTTATGTGTGCATCTTCTGCTTGGTTATTTTTTTTTATTATTATTGTGAATTAAAATCAAAGTAAAAATTGGACAAAACAGATCAATCTAAATGTGGGACCATCTGATATATTTGCAAATGTGACGTGAATTTGCTGTCCTCTGTTGTACAGGTGGAATAATTTGTTGCACTGAACGGATTATCATGAACTCCCATACTCCATTCCTCACTTGTACTTTGATGAACAAACAACTGGTAACTGATAACTAACTAATTAGTAAAATACGAATTTTGAGCCTTACCTTATTCATGTTTCCAGCTTGCTGAGCATTCATCACGTTGTGTGCACCCATCTGGGGCCCTCCTTGGGTGAGTGTTTCTGCCAGCACACTGCCTCCAACACCAGGTCCAGCACCCACTTGTGCGCCCTGCATGCCTTGGCCCTGATATTGCATACCAGGTCTACCACGGCCTGCCGGTCCCAGAGCCCCATTCATCACTTGTCCTGCCATGACCCCATGACCCTGCCCACTGTTCAACATGGCCTGGTTAAAGCTCATGCCCGTGCTTCCATTGCCTTGTCCAGCTGCACCTCCCTTTTGGGCCTGGGGAGACTGGTGATTGGGAGAGCCCTGCCTCAGTGGACTTTTACCGAGCACAGCACCTAGCTGGCTTCCCACCATGCTTCCTTGTTGGGCGCTGGCAGAGTTGAGACTACTTCCCAATATGGAGGAGCTTCCCGGTCGTAGGAGCTCCGACAGCTGCTTGTGTTTGGCTGCGGCATCAGGAACGATGGAGTTGAGACCAGGACCCCCTCCACCTGGACCGCCATTAGAAGACATTCCCAAGTCTCCATTGGGGATGAGCTCATCTGGAAGGTCGTTTTCCAGGTCAAACAGAGACACAAGATCTAAAAAAGAAAGAAAGGGAAATAAGAATTAGCTGTTGATTTGTACCTTGACATAGTACGACTTCCCTGCCTTTCCACTTTGTCACCACTCAGCTTTCGTCTTAGTTATTTTGATATTATGTACGTTATGTTTATGTTGTTCAATAAGTTGTCAAAAAAACTTTCATAACCAAACTCCATGGAATCGACCTTTGAACTATGACTACTTTTGTTTATATTTTGGAGACAATGTCAAAAATGACCCTCATGCCAAGCCTTCCTACTTCATCAACCACTCGCACGCAAGGTAAAAGCCAATGGCATTGAGTAATGCCTTGCAACTCTCGTCACCAACTGCTACTCACATAAACTAGCAAAGCACCTCTGTGTCTTGGTACAGTTAGTTTTCTCACATGATGCAAATCATACATGAATAACAAAACACATACTAAAGACCACCTTTTCAAGTCCTTTCATTATCATACAAATAATTGCCGTAAACAATTCAATTGTCTTTTCTGGTCATTTTAACGCCACACATCAGGATTGTGTGTTTAGGCCGAAACTTTGTTGTTCTTTATGGCAACAAATCAAAAATATCGGATCATTGTCAATGTATCTTCAAATAGTTTATGAAACCAGCTTTACCTTAAATTAGGGTGTTTAACTGTAAAACATTTAAAAATCAAATCTATGTAGATGAACACAATGTAACTTTGCAGTGTGCAACGTTTGTATCACTGGAGGATTACTTATGCTCTTGTGCAGACATGGGCAAACGTGCGTACACTACAAGAGCCCAGTACCCGGGGTAAGAAAGAAAGGTGCATATAGAAAAAGTTTTAGCTCTTCACTGGCAGCATTCTTGTGGCTGTGTTAAAAAAGTGAACAATAACATATAACAAACATAAAACATTAATAGACCATGAATGAGGGTCAGCCCAAATCACACATTTATGCCAACGTCCTTCACGTCAAGGTGTGATAGTGCCTGTGTGTGTCAGCCAATCTTACAGGCCTTAACAGCCACACCCCCACACACGCCTAGCTCCATGTCTGGGCACACTGGATTACTTCGGCTGGAAAGAAATCCAACCCGTTCATTTATGAAATATAGTGCTAATCAAGGGAATCTTGAATATGACAGCCACATGCTTTAAATGGAGTGCCCAACCTTGTAGCACAGCAACTTGTCTCAGAGTACAGCAAGAGATATGAATGGTGCATAGTTGAGAGCAAGCACCTGTTCATTGCCCCAGGCCTATTCAGCAACAGAATTTAAACCACACAAATGTAAAAAGTGCCTCCAGCATGGTAACTATTTTCTATAGGCTGTGAGTACAATTTGAACTTGCTTGTTACACAACAAGGATAAGATGAGCATATTAGGGCTGCACGATTTGGGGAAATAATCGAATTGCGATTTTTCTGACAGATATTGCGATTCGATTTGCGATATTTGTTTTTAAGCGACCCAACCAAAGTTTATTGTAAAATGCGGCCATATCTCCGGCTAGGAAGGTCGTATCCACGTGCTCCCGTCTCTAGCACCCCCGCAGCCCGAGCTACGAGTGAAAGAACTAAACTTACATGAAACTTCCGTTGGGTTGCTTTAAAGTCAAGCTTCAGTTTAAGATTCACCCTGTAATAGATGTAAAAGGCTCAATATCACTATAAAGTAACTTTGGTGTCCCCATCAGAATCACGCAGTTATCATGAAAATGTAGCAGAATAATGAAACTCTGAGGTCTTATTATAAAAGGCCAAACATTTACACACATATCGGTACAATGATAAGTCTCTTGAAATGTGTTTCCTTCATTTTATACCTTATTTTTTCATTGGATGTACTTGATTTTGGCATGTCCCACACACTACTCTGCTAACTACAGTGTGTGTAATAAGTGGTTAAATCATACTACATTTAAAAAATAATTATATGGTTTTATTGTCCACAACGAGTTTTTTGATCATGTATATTCTATTTTCATAATACTATTGAACATTTTGCATGTGTCCCTGACATTGCTGTCCACCCTGTCATTATGGGGTAACTGCTAGGGCTGAACGATTAATCGATTTTAAATCGAAATCGCGATTTGAAATGATGCGATTATCAAATCGCAAAGCCTGCGATTTCTTTTAAAACTTTGCTCCACATGTACCAGCCATTGTTAACCAATCAGAAGTGGCCCATGATAGAAGGTGATAGACATATTGATCCAATCACCTGCCAAGTATTTCTGGGTATGTTTCCACAAACCATCTAGCAAAGCTCCATTGGAAGCCATTTGGAAAGGGCAGGCACTTTCAAAAATACTTGGCAGGTGATTGGATCAATCCGTCTATCACCTTCTATCATGGGCCACTTCTGATTGGTTAACAATGGCTGGTACATGTGGAGCACAGCACTTCTGATTGGTGTGGATGACTGACACACAAGAAAAAAAAATTGCGTCATTTAAAATCGCGATTTCGATTTAAAATCGATTAATCGTTCAGCCCTAGAGCATATCCAGCAGCACGCAATCACATGCCAAGTAGTGACAGCGGAACCAATGACTAACCAAAGAATCCAAACACTTGAGTCACACTTATCTCACCTGAGGAGTACATTGATGTTGCCGGTTGTATCTGACCAAGAGCTTTCCAGAAGCCACATGAACATTTCCAATTGACTCTTTAATCTGGTTGATAATAACAGACTTTGCAGATGGCTGCTTCAACAGAGTCAGAGAGATATGAGATTGAGATGGAACGGCTAAGATGCCCCTCCTCTCTCAAAACTATAGATGGAGCAAGGTTGTTACATTATCATGACAGCGACAAGGGACATAATAGACTTATGGTGGAAAGCTAAACATGGGGAACCTTAATGTTTCATTGCAAGGGCTCCCTCGACCAAAAGCACCGGGATGTTTTTCATTGGATTTTGGAATATTGCAGAAAAGTAGTAGCCATAAGTAATGCTTGACGACGTTGGGAATTCTCATTTAGTTAATAATTTAGATATATCATAGTTTTTTTTCACCGTAATTAAAGTATTAGATTTTATTGTGCAGTAAGAATTAGATGAAAAAATTGAAATGTCATGCCTAATTCAAAAAGTGATAAAAGCAGCGTGCCAGGCTATTTTCCAGACAACCGATTGGCTGTAGATTTGTAAAACTTGTTATAAGGTGTGCAAAATTAGTGTGGCACTTGTAAAGCTTGGGCTGCAGTGATTTGCAGTGTTTATGAAAACCACAGCCACTTTTCTAGCAGACAGACTTGATTTGAATGAATGACACAGCCTACAGTTTCTTTCTGAAGTATATGATACGAAGGTTAAAAGCAGAAGGAGGAAAAAGGTAGAAGAGGGCGACAGGTCTGATGGAGGTGGCTGATTAGATGGCTTTCAGCGCCACCCACCACTCTTCTCATCTCAATCAGTGGCACCTCTGCTGACACTTTAGTCAGCAGATCCAGAGTAACGTCTGCCACTACTACGACATGCTGGCGGAAGGCAGAACTAACGCCAGAGTTCCCGTTAGAATATTTTTTTGCCGGTCAGCATGTCCGTTAAAGTTGAAATCTTCCGGACAAAATGAGAAAAGTGCCGATCAAAGGTCTTCTTTGTTATTTATTGAGCTTTTAAACAAATGGATATGATTCGATATTAAACAAACTAATTCTAGTAGATTAACTACATTATTCAAAAGTGTACAGTAACTTATAACACGGGAATAATAAACGGAGCGCTCTCTCCCTCTCCTGACAGCCCGTCAGTATCATGCAACTCGCGGATCCAGTAATGAGTGGCCCGACAGTAAAACTAAACATATCTATAACTAGTTTAGGTAGTTTGAGAGGTCATTAAAATAGCTACGTGATGTTCTAACCTGAAGTGTGTGTTGCTCCGCTCACCGCTGCAGGGGATCATGCAGAGCTGCGTGTCGACTCGTCAGCAACAGCTGATCTCTCTCTCCCGTCAGATTAGACTTCACTCGCGTTTATGTCCATATCGATCAGATCCAGCTAGTTCTAGCTAATGATATGACTACCTGCTTATTAAAAGACACCTAAACAATAAGCGTCGCTATGCAACCGGGTGAGGCCGCAAAGTATAGCGCAGCATTATGCATTTGTTTACATGCCCACCGGAACCCCGAGGCATTACCAACAGATCAACGCACAATCAACCCATACAGGACATCTCTTTCTCCACATTAAATGTTAGACATTAGAGTTGACTATTCTTGTCTGTCACATATTCTTCTTGTCTGTCACATACTCTTCTTGTCTGTCACATATTCTTCTTGTCTGTCACGTACTCTTCTTGTCTGTCACATAAGTGGCACAACTGATGCGGTATTGTGCTAAAGGGAAATTATTTTGACCGGACATTTTGACCGGAGAGATTTAGATTTGCCGGTCTTCAGCATATTTTACCGGTCATAGTCCGGTAATTACCGGCTAACGGGAACTCTGACTAACGCTTGACAGTTTTAAACAACAGGTAATGGTGGTGTAATAATGCAGACCCAGGGAATGGTGACCATTCATACTAGCCAGACAAAGGAGGGGGAAACCCCGCTAGGTGAACAGGAGGGTTGGAAAGTGGCTGCCCCTTTCTCACCCCTGGCGCTGACACGCCCCCTCAGCCATATGAATGAAAACAAACCTGGCACTTGCCGGTGGCCACGGGCACACGCATATACCGACACGAGACCAGAGCACCATAAAAAACTGTCACATATTAACATAAACAACAAACACAGACTGCTAATCTGTAGCTGTGAGTGACAGCTCAGTGTGCGGTGGGCTGGATGTGGCAAAGGGAGATGTCTTTGCTATCTGTCAGACCAGCAATAATGGAAAGGCTTTACCAATTACCAATGTAACTCAGTAAGTCAAATCCATAGGGTATCCTGTTATAATAATATATTTGTAACACAAGTAATAATTGCCATCATGAATTCAATTTTCTGCAGGTCTCCCTTGAAAAAGAGATCTATGATCTCAATGGGACCAATCTGGTTAAATAAAGGTTTGAAATGAAATCTTTAAAGCAACTAAATACATCCTTTTAATTTAATTCTTATATTATTTCTTGTCCTGCATCAACATCCAAAGTAAGAAGGAATCTATTTTTTTTATTATGAACCACATCTATCAACTGCAAATCCAATTCAAAGAAACTAAGTTAATGTAACTGAACAAGTACAAGAGAATAGAAACAAGGCTGTAAGATACAGGTTCCTCAGATATCTTTCTGCATTTTTTCTAAGAATCAGGGCTTTTTCAACGAAAGAAAAAAAAAGTACTTATCATTCCATCTGCGGGGTGGCCCCTAAAATCTTCCCAGTGTACTCAAGACCCTGAGCTACGTCCAGAACTTCAAAGAGAGCAGGTCTACAAGAGACGTCTGCAACTTCTTACTGAATACATGTGTTTGTGAGCGTGTGTGTATGAGTGTAAACTGAGACAGAAAGAGCTTCTGGCAGCAGCAGTGGGGGAGGAGTCAGTCTCGGTGTCAGACTGCTTTATTGCCCAGAGAAATCTTCGGTCACCCCTCAGAGAAGATGAGCTACCTTGGAGGAAAACTTAGGACTGTCAATGAGACTGGATAATGCAGACTTCCAAAGAAGATAAGATAGGACGAAAAAAGAAACTTCACATTCTCAATTGTTTGTAAATGGCACACAGATGTTTTCGATCTCCACTGCAATTTAATTTTAGCAAATGCACCAGTCAGAGAGTTAAGAGGTGGCTGCAGTGGTGCAACCCAAGACTGTTTTCACAGAAATGTATGGATCCATGTTATGTCAAGGCTTGGCGGTAGCGTCTGCCTAAAGGATACCAACAAAGCTATGTTCATGAGTAAAGTTGCTAAACAACCAAAGACTGGATGGACGATAAAGATACAAGCAGTATTATACTACTAGATTATAAGCATGATGAAAGTGACAAGAATTGTCAACCCAATGTTTCCAGCCTTTGTAATAAGAAAAAAATATTTAAGCCAAACAATACACTTCATGTAAAATTGGAAACGTTTTTAGTTCTTAAGTAGAGTTGCAATTAGGGTAATTAGGGTAAGCTAATCAAAATATAAATCAACTACGACTAATTACTTATTTATTATTCATATTAATTCAGTTTAATTTGCCAACATTCAGTGTCTCCAATGTCTGAAATCAACTGTTTTCTCATCATTGTAAATACAATATACTGTGGTTTTGGACAGCGGTTGGACAAAACATACATTTAAAGATTTGCCCACGAAATGGGTAAAAAGTTACCAACTTATTTACGCATTTATACACGATTAATCTAAAAAAGGTTGATTTATAGTTAGTTGCAGCCCTACTCTAAAGACACTATTCTGTAATTGGTCTGACAACTAGTCCAACTCATTTGTATTCTACTTTCTACTGAGAGACACATTAAATCGTCTTCCTCGTGTTAAATATAAAAATATCTCATGTGACTGCATGGTCAACTTTAAAAACAGTATCAGCAGGTTTCTCTCTTCAAAGTCACTATCCATATGACGTCCATGTAAAATCCTTGTAGGTCAAATTGATGTCAAAAGGTTGCGTTGAAGTTTGAATTGGACAGTCTTGGAGAGAATGCATATGTGACGCTCTTTTACTAATTATTATGAAAGCGTAATATTACTATGAAAACCGACTCATCTGTCAACACGGCAACTATATAAAAAGTAAGCAAATGTATGTGGGTTAAAAGAGTTTATAGAACAGTTCTTCCAAAAATGCACCTGTTACATGGCCAGGGGGGTGGCTTGCTTCTGGACAGTAATAGTTGATATGATAACTACAACAAATAATGACCACTGGAAAATGTCCCATAATGTATAGGGCCAGTGATGTTCAAGATTATATCAAATCTAACAAATGTATTCTGCATTTCCATATAGCACTCTATTTGGGATATGTGTGCTAAAAACATTCTCCCAGATATACGTTTCATCCAATGTGGGGTTGTCCAGTATATTTTTCTGGATACATTTTAATCCTGGCCATTCAAGCATTTTGTTGAATGAAAGAAGGGTTGAGCATTCAGTGGCAGACTGACCTAGTGGAGAGAGATTATCTTTCTGTCAGACAACCCAGGTTCAAGTGCCTGCTCAGTCTCTGCACTGCTGAAGAGGCAATGAGCACGAGTCAAATCCAACTCCAGGGATACAGATGCAGCTTTTTCTTTGTGATGGTGAGCAAAAAGCTAAATATTGTTTTCTAAAAAGGGATCACATGACTTGTTGATTTAATCATGAATGGCTAATCAAATGTAAAGGTGCAATGAGACTAATAAAGACAGCATCAGACCAAGAATGTGTCAAAAGGTAAAGAGAAAACCAACCTATGCAAATGAACTGTCAACACTTTATTCAACTATATCTCAGATGATATGATGGGTGAGCACGATTATGTGTTATTCAACCCTACAAGAGTGAAAAGTTGGGACACTACTACTGTTGAGGAATTCAGTGATGAAGAGATAGTGAGTTTGCACTTTTAAAATTAATAGCATTTTCTGAATCTGCTGTTAATGTATTCAAACCATCCTGTTGGGACTTTAGTACTGTAGTTTCCATGTGACATTAGCACAGCACAACTGAAGAGGCGAATTGGTTGACTTTACTATGGCACTTTTCCTAAGGTGGATGCATCCTGACCAGAAAGCATCAACGCAATAAAGGGTGCAGGTTTAATACATGTATATCTTGTTGCCGTAGCACACCCTCCTTGTCAGTCAGTTAAATGTCTAAAAGCATGTCTTACCTGGGCCATCTGATACTGGGAGAGGTGAATTAAGCTTGGGTCTCTTTGCAGTGGGGGGTCCGACATCCAGCAGATTGTCAGCCATCCTGGTCGGGATATTTTGTGAATGGTTTATGTTGCAGAAAAATGACAACAGGACGAGTCCACGTTGTCCACTTCTGGCTTGTAAAAAATGTAACTTTTCCTATCGTTTCGCGTAAAGGAGCAATGTAACTGTTTTTTTTCTTGACTGGCAGACTGGCTAAATGCTGCCTGGAGAAAAGGGTTTCAAAAGAAAGGCAACAGCGCCACGCTTCGCCGCCGAAGATCACCCCATGATAATCCAACACCCAACACCCACATAATTATCCTCAATAATAACGTCCAAAAATTATTTCCGTTCGAGAAAAATAAATAAAAATCAATCATAAAATATTACACAAGGCGTAAGCAAATCCCTTTCTCCGCAGATCGCCGGTTTCACGTCTGTACAGAATCATCTTTTTCGCAGTCGAAACGAGCAGCCATAAAATCAATTTCGGGCTTAAATAAAAAGAGCAAAATTCAAAAAATATTTTCTATGAAGTGGATTATTTTTGTGGTTGCTGTCTCCCGGTAAATTCAGCGTCTCGGGACGGAGATACGGCGAGAAACGGCGCTCTCCAAAAGGGAAATCAAATATACAGTGGGCTTTCGAGACGGTAAAAACCCGTGTAATCCTCACATGTTTGCATTATTTCTCATCGGAAGGACTAACACTTCGATCTTCTGCACGAAAAAACCCGTTTGAGCCCCGTCTGAGTAGCTCCGATCGGTTTTTAAAATTAATGCTCCCCCCGAAATCCCGATTCTGAGCCGCGTCAAGATGGCGGCTGTTGATTCCTCCGATACAAAAAAAAACTTTTTTTCTTCCCAGCTAGACTGTGGGGGGAGGAGGGAGAGGTGTCGCGCTATGACGCCCTGACGTAAACCTGTGTCCCACCGTACGTCATGTAGACGTACGCTAAACTGCCTCTAGGGGTGCAATAACTCAACAAATACACTCGTACTATGTTGTTACTTTGCTTTAACTTTACAAACACATTTACACATTTACTCAAGTACTCAAGTACTCAAGTACTCTTCAATTTTGAGCTAATTGTACTTTACTTGAGTGTTTCCATTTTATGCTACTTTGTACTTCTACTCCACTACAATTCACAGGTAAATTGTGTACTTTTAATCCACTACATTTATTTTGTATATTTAGTTACTTTGTAGATTTGGATAAATAATGTGAAATATAATCAACACTTAAATAGGACCTTAGCAACACCTGGAGTAAATCCACAAGTATAGAAAAGAGCTGCGGTATACAAAGTATTTAAAACTAGCTGCACGTTTACCAGCTTTGATAAACACTTTAATAATGCATCAATAATTATAATCAAACATATAATATATATGATTCTGAAATGGACCAATTTGCATAATAAGTACTTTTACTTCTAATTTGATGCTAATACTTTTGTACTTTAACTTGGGTTACCTTTGAATGCAGGCATTTTACTTGTAACAGAGTATTCCTACACTCTGGTACGTTTTACTCAAGTACAAGATCTGAGTACTTCTCCCCCCTCTGCAAACACACAGCAGTCAATACTCCAATATATAAAATACAGCTCGTATTATCAGTGGTGGAGGAAAGTGACAACATGGTGAGGAGAATGGTATACTTTTACTTCAAGTTTATCCGACAGCTATTTATATTTTACAATGTTCTTTCATGCAAAGCTTGTAAAATGTGAATCACGGCCACGCATTATACCTTGAAATAAACAAATGTGTTGACATTGTCTCCTTGTTGTACAAATGTACAATAATACACACCATTAAAATGTTGCGTACAAGAAAATACGTCATTGCTAAAACATCCAATAATGTAAGATTCTGTGAAGTGGCTGTTATGCATAATGAGCACCCTTACCTTTGATACTTAACATTTTACTAATGATACTTTTGTACTTAACTTTAGTATATTTTTTAATGCACACTTTGTTAAACCGTTCGTCTCCTTATGTAAACCATTTGATTAAGTCTTCCGAAATGTCTTATTAAAGTATAACATTAAAGCATTATATTACAACCACTTTCTATTCAGATCTACCATATTCACATATATAAAACACTTCCACTTGAAGTCAATGTGTTGCATGTAAAAGCTAAATAGTAGCTAACTAATATAAGCTAAATGTAAGCCTGCCTACATAATTTAAAGTAATAGTATTTATAATGCAGCATACCTTACCCTTCTATTTTGCATATAAGATTTCCATTACTCATTCAGTTACTGTTGTAAGCAGAAATTAATCTTGACACTGGTTTGAATTAGACTGAATTTTAAACTACTTTATTTTATGTTGGGTAATTTAATCCATGGCAATTTTAAATATTTTATAACAACGCCTAATGTTTTGTTTGTGAAATCTCAATCTACAAAAGCAACAAGGCAATGCAAAGTATAGTGTAAAATACATACAGTATAACACAGCATCAAATACTAAAGTAAAGTACAAATACAGAATCAGAAGTAGCAACAGGCTACACTGTAAATTCAACCAGACAAAATGTACCATAATTTTATTTTATTCAATTGTGACCTTCACTTGCATTTACCCATTAACGTGCTATGTACAAAAACATTTCTAAATAAAGCAACAATGCCTTAAAACTTGGCTGTAGCAGCCTACTGAAATACTGCCTAAGTGCAGACATCTAGCAGTGTCTCGCCCATTTTATTAGCCCACTTTTTATTTTTAGAAAATGAAATAAAGGACGTCTGTATGACTGAAGCCTTATTGTCTTGCATGTCATACTTTTTGAGATGATACAAATGGAGCATTGCTTACAAAAACACACAACCACACAGTTTTACAAACACACTTTTTTACGGACATGCAGGCAAACTGAACACACAAGTGTTATTCCAACATAGTCAAATTACCCAGTTCTTTAGACTATTTAATACTCTAGTACATGCGTCTATATAAATAATAGAAAATGCTCAGAAACGATACAATATAAAGCCATACTATACATAAAAAGTGAGCTCCTTTGCAAATGTCCCTTAACAGTGAATATATAAATGTTATTGAACAAGCACAAGATAACCTGCAAATTAAGGAGAAAATAAGATACAAAAAAGCTCTAAGTGATGGCAATAACATTCTTTGGCATCAACATTTTCACAGTGTGCCATTCTGCTGGATCAGAATGTCACTTACATCTCGATAAATCAACCCAAAGCAACATTTAGGATCATGTTGGTAGAAAAAGAAAAGGGCAGAAAATAGAAAACACAGCTATGTAATTATTCTTGTTTATCCCAAATACAATACTAATAGAAAAAAATGTTATCAAAATAACCAAGGAAGGAAAAAAAGAAATGTTGCTAATACACTTTACTTGACACTGAAGTATCTTGATCTTGATTAAACACTTAAATAATAACAAATATTATTCTAAAACTACCTTTATTTTAGGCTGGTAAAAGGGTTGTGTGCCCATAAGTGTAAAGGAAGGAATTTCCCCTTTCAAACTTAAGAAAAGGCACTGCTTTTTTTACCTTAGAAAACATCTTTTAAATTAAAGGTGTTTAAAGCACAAAAGTTAACATTATCCTGCAAAGCTTAAGATAAATATTTAGTGTCTTAAGAAATGAAAGCAACACAGAGCAGACAGTGAAAAGAAGTAGAAAGTTAAAAGGCACGAACAAAACAACCAATTATTAACTTATTAGGCATTTGTTAAAATACCTTTGATGATAAAAGAAGGCAAATGTGTCCCTTGTGTTGTTTGCATTATTACTTTAAAATACTGATTGGTTTAAGTGTTGTTAAAGATATTGAAATATCAAAAGTCAAAAGACACTGAAGTGGACGTCATGGTAAAACGTGTTTGCCTCTGAGCACACAATCCTTTTTGCTAAGAAAACAATAAAAGAGAGAACATGTATCAGCAACCGAGATGTACAGTTTAATCAGTTTGATCAGTTTGATTTCCTTCATCATCTGACATAATAGAAGTCTATAAGGAATAAAAACACATACAACTAAATACATTTGTTGCACTGCCTTTGCAGTTACAGTGCCGTTTTTACATTAAGTTTCATGCCATTGAAAGTATGAAGCAGCTAATGCATCCAACTGTTTCCATCAAATAGTATATTTCAAATAATACAATTAAAGACCGGAGCTTCACATAGAAAGTTCAAGTTTTGTGTAACAATAAATACAATAGAGCACATTTAGTTTAGATTAGTGACATTCCACTTTGATTATCCATGTCTAAAAAGCCATATCACCTAAACACACAGTGTAATCCATAGCAAAACCTAGGCAGTTGTTTTCTGTAATTGATCTACGGTCAAAGTAATCTACAGGTACAGCAGTACCTTGTAGGATCCATCTAAATACTCATCAACATCTAACACAGTTTGGGTACCCATAAGAGCCCAAATCATGGGGGAGGGCACAGAACTACAGATCTAACCTCGTCTACGATGCTGCTATCGTTGCAAGCATGCTGATTAAATGTGGCTGGGACAGGACACAGTACTGAGGTAAGACAACGATCTTAACAGGGGCCAGAGAAAAAGCTGACATAAGATTTTGTTTTGCCCCCTACTGCGTTCCTGAAATGTCTGTCCTCATCCTGCAAGTCTTTGATTAACTCATAGGCAACTCGCTTTATCAAACTGAGCATGATATTCTTCCTACACAGAGCCATAAAAACGAACACACACACACACACACACTCACGGTTTGCATGCAAATACGTTTCTGGTACTCATGAAGAACAAGGAAATAGACTCTGTTGCATTGTAGTTCAGATTTTACTATAACATATATTCCCTTTAATTGACACACATTGTGATTATCTTCATGTTGTAGCACTTTCCATATGTATAGTAAGCTCTTCTTTAATAAAAGGCATAATAGCAAAGCATAGTTTACAAAGTTGTAACAAAATGTAAGCTGGTTTTCCCAAAAAGTTTGCTTATTTACAGTTTTCCCTTTTTATGATATCCTTCTGTTACTAAAAAAGGCTTAGTCTACACATAATTCTAGGCACTTAAAAGACACAAAATAAATGAAGATTAAAGGTATACAGATAATCAAGTAATGGGAGACAATTGAGATCTATAGCAGGCAAGAAAAGGTCTGAGAGAGACCTCCCATCATACTTCCTCTGTGTGTTCCTGCCTGACAGTCGCTTTGAGGTCCAGCCAGCACCCTCCACTGATAATTTCAGCCAATCAGATTTACACTAAAAACAACCTGCTGTCTGCTTTCTGCAGAGAAGAGGCCTGCAGGTCTTTCTCTGATTCTAGGACCAAATATATTGTAATTCTACAAATGCCAAATGGCAGGAACAAGAGCTTAAAGGGTATAGACAGTTTACGATAAAAGCGCCATAATATGACATTCTTAGAGGCGTGTTAATTCTCCAACATTACAGTCAGGCGCTTCATCGCATTTGTCCTTCTTGATGTATTTTTGGGACGTTATGGGCGTATTTTGCTGGGCCGATGATGAGATGAGAAGCTGTTGGTTATTTGCAGAAGAAGTTGGTCCGTCTAGGTGAGATGAAGGTCTTCTGGCATTGGAGGTTTCTGTAGAGGAACGCCTGACGGCCTCTTTCCCGAGGCTTAGCCCTTTGATAGTTGAGGAACCAGCACTGGGTACCGTAGTATGTGTGCTGCTAGCAGTTAGGCTGGTTGCTGGAACCATGCTCGCGATTTCATCAGTGGGTGAGCGTCCGATGCTACCATCCACCTGTGCCCGAATCTCTGGCGACACTGAGAGCTGGTACTGAGGCACAGGGCCACTATCACTGCTCTTCGGGTAAAGGAAGGTCTTCATCTGACCTTTGCCTTTGACGTTAACTGTGCCCCGATAATCAAACTCATAATCCATAGCGCTAAGCACACAATAGCTCTCCTCACTCACCTGCACACGGCACTCCACCCCTGTTGTATCCATGCGACTGGCGATGTTAACCGTGTCGCCCCAGATATCGTAGAGAAGCTTAGTAGTGCCAATCACTCCCGCTGTCAGAGGCCCGTGATTGAATCCAATGCGAAGCTTGAAGCCAAAACCCAGCATGTTCTTGTTGAAGTCGTCCACCACACGCATCATTTCCAGGGCGAATTCGAAAAGAGCGCGGAGATGTGCGTGAGGATGTGCCGCGTCAGCACACTGCTGCGCATTGAGTCCTGCTGCTGCCATGTACGTGGCACCGATAGTCTTGATCTTTTCCATATTCGAGAACGTAGGCTTTCGTAGCAGCTCGTCAAAGTCTCCAATTAGCTCGTTGAGGACACGATAGCACTCCTTGCCTCCCTCGTAGCTTTCCTCATAAAACTCACTGAAGTTAACAATACTGGCAAATATGACACCCACATTGTCGTGGTTCTTGGAGTAGCTCTGGGTGACCTTTAGCTGCTCGGCCACATGGATGGGGATGATGTTGCGTAGCAGCCAGTCGGCCTGGTCTCTCATGTTCTGGATCTTGATGCGGTGTTGATCAGCCTCAACGTTGCCATGGTAATGCAGGCGGTGACTAACTTCAAATTCACGGTTAAGGAACAAGATAAGGAGAAGGACCAGGAAAAAGGCAACGCAGGCCTCAGGGCCCAGCAGGTCCTTTGGGGTTGGGTCTGGAGGACTTTCAGACATGAAGATGGAGCCGTTACTGAAGCTGGTATTGCTTTTAACATCCGACCTGGTGGAGAGACAGAGTGAGATACAGAGTGAGAGAGAGAAACACAGAGGGAAATGCAGGGAAATTAAAATCCTGAGGTTAAAACAAATCTTTGTCTTATTTGCAGCATCTATGTCAAGTCCACGACTACAAAGGCTTTTGGCATACGTTTCTTGCACCCTTCTACATTTGTAACTCTCAATCATGCACACACAAGCCTGATTTTCAGCAAGTGTCTACAGAAAACAATAAAACTGACTGGTTACAAACTATGACATCAACAATGCTAACAATAATAAGTGTACTTACCACAAAAACAGACTCTTAGCAATGCTTGAAGAGATAAAACAAACAAAAAGCTCTAATTAATGCTTTAAGTCCATGTAGAAATCCAGCCACCTATCTTTTCTTGAAATACAATGGGTAACCCAGTGTCATTATGCCACTGATATTGAGCACATCATTCAATTAGATCACATTTTTCAAACATGTTATTTCATTTCATTTTCTCTATTCATTATGTCATACCTGCAGGGGGAGCTGAAGATCAAGGCAAGCATTGCTAGTCCCACCAAAGTTGCTAGAACTGAGCGCATCCAATAGCTGAGTTGGCAGAAGTTACAGTACTGAATGATAGCTATGATGACAGCACAGCAGATGAACATGGTGAACTGGGGAAAATATGAAGCGCAGAGTCATTAGTCAAAAGGTCCCATAAGATTAGAAAATACAATTTGCTGACTGTAGCCTATATTAACATATTGTACCATTAAAAGACATATGATGATAATAATTAAGTCGGATGGACATTTTGATGGCAGCCCTACAGGGAGCTGCTTTATTGGTCAGAAGCAAAACTCAACTATAAGATTTGAGAGGAGGAGAATACATCTGATATGATGACAGCAATCAAATTAATGTAGTTTTGAAAAGGTAAACAAAGAGAAAATATAAAACTTGAAAATCCACCTGAATTGAGAGATGCATGTCACAGGTAACATGGGAAAAGACGGCCACAGTGGGCAGGGACACCAGGACGGCTCCTATAAAGTGACGCGCTATCCATCCTGAAACCACTCTCATCAGCATCCGAGTGCAGTGCAGCACACTGTCCAGGTAGAAAGCCATACTGAAGAAGAAAAACAATAACTCATTTTACCATAATAAAGCAGAAAACAGATGCCCGACAAAAATATGGCCACGTGATTTACATGGAAACTAATCCTAAAAAAAATGCTGTGTCATCTGGCCCATCCCTCCACTTTCTCCAAAGAAAGCAAACCATTTCTACCACTTTATAAATTACTATTCGTTCTAAAACATATTTAAAATACCAGACTTCAAATGAACTACTTGTGAGCATTAACAGTAACATACAAAAACAAAATAGTCAAAACTGTGCTGTCACATTAGTCACATCAGATTTTCACTACACAATTAACTAGGCAAAAATAATTTATGATATTCATTTATATATAAATATGATATATTTACAATTTCTATATGACATTTCTTTGCAAAACACAATCCTTGTTTATCCTGCATTTTGACTCTTTTTTGGCAAATGAATTACAATCTGGATACATTCAGTACATCTATCCTTTGTATCAGGGGTCTAAGGAATAACAGTTTGTCCGCCTCCTGTGAGTAATGGACAATTTCGTGTCACATTTGCTGCATTAAGGTGCAGTTCTTCATGGTTTTAGTGTTAATGTTGCATGTTGCACAATTAGGAGCAAACTCTCCAATGTGGAGTAAAGAGCCAATTGCTATTTTGGGATTATGCCTTTAAGGGAATAAAATACTAACATATTAAAACAGGAAAACATATTTGCCGGGTGATATTTAACTATTCATTTTAAATATGTGGTGGGGGATTGTGACATTGACCAGCAGACTGTATTTAGCAATGGGCCCACAGTTTAAAACCCACAGTCTATATTCAGTATCTCACCGTATAGCAAACAGAAGGGCCACAGTCTCCAGCAGGGTGGCTCCAGCTGTCAGAATGAGTGCTGGTGTGGACAAGCTCTGCTGGGTGACAAGTGGTCGGAGGAAACAGGCCAGTGAGAGAGCCAGAAACACTAAACAGCAGAGCAGCATGTCCAGAAAAGAGCTGAATGTTGGACTGGCAAAAGTCTGCACCGGTGCCTGGGTTTCCACCTGAGGGTAGAAAGAGAAAAACAGAAATAAAAAATCTAAAACATATGCGAAAATAGCAAGAAACACGTAAGTTGCAAAATTTGAGTAATGCATTACTGAAAAGTAGTCTAACCAAGGATCTGCAGCATAAATGCATGATCAATAATTCATGATGCCTTGGAATTTCATTATCCAACAATCAAAAATTATTTAATGACTTAAGTAAGCCTCTACTGAAATCTATTTCCATATCAATGACCCAGATTCTAGAGACTAGACGCTGTAGCAACAGTTGCAGCCATGACAGCAGGGATGCACTTCTGAGGTTACACCAGCAGAGGACATCACAAACTAATACAAAACTACTTTTAAGGTCCTGCAGTGATTTCTATTTGCCGCAGTCTTGACCAGTCTGGCCGTAACACAGTGCTAATAGGCTTCCCAGACAACAGATAAACTCCAGAGGAACACAGGTAACGCACCCAGGTAGAGACAGCAAGTAAACTATGCTGACTCATTAAACATGCATGCATACAGGCACTGTTATGTCATGCACAAAAACAGCTCACACACCTCTTCCTGGTAGCTTATCCGGTAGGCAGACTCCAGGCTGCTCTCAAGGAAGGTGAGGCTGAGCTTGTTTATTGGGGGTCTATAGAAATAGTCCTTCATAAGGCTGTCAAAGAAAAAAGGTAAGTTGAAATTAAAATTGCCCAAAGCTTAAAATTGGCGCGAAAATGAACATCAATAGCTGAGATTTACATTCTGATCAACTCTACATCATGTTTAATGTTTTTAATGTATTCATCATTAGATCATTCTTACCTGTCCTCTTTAATAACGTCCACAAAGTGAGCATCGCTCCTCTCCCTGAAGTTCTTTGAGCGTAGGGGGATGAGCGCTGAGTGGTCCATGCCCATGGTTCCTCCACTCCACGTCTTCTTCTCCTTCTCCTGCAGCATCTCACACAGCGACGTCTGGCTGTTGGTCAAGGCCTCCAGCTGAGGACTGAGCAGGCCGTTCAGAACTTTGGGGCTGCGTCCTGCAGAAACCGCTGGGGAGCACTTCAGATTTGTAATGTCCTAAAATGAGAAGAGGGGGGGAGGCAACATCTGACTTTACAAAATAACAGAAGCTGTGATAATGGATCTTTTATTTGGAAAAAGAGCAGCAATTAAACAAAGTCTAAATATAAATTATAAAGCTAAAGAGTGTGTTGTAGTGACACCAATTCAAATGTGTCTTTGGCACACTTTATCTGGGACTCATTAAGTCCTATTTCTTTTTAAAGATTTTCTATCAATCTTTTTTCTTTTTTCCTTTTTGCTGCTGGGCATGAGAAAATGTAACCAGGCTGGTTCATGTACTACATATAATGAAATATAACCGATTGGACATAAAAAAAGCATACATATAACATCTATCCAAGGCTAACCTTGGTGTTGATCTTGTGGTCGTCATGGCAGCCATTGTGCACTGCTCCTTCCTCGAGAACCGGATCTTCCACTGGTATCAGAACCACACTGCATGATACACAAGGGGACTGCAGGGGTGTAGAGGTTGGAGGGGGGCATTATTGAGAGGGAGATGCAGCATATGGAGGCAAGAAGGAAGAAAGATTAATACATTGAAAAATTAATATTAAGGAAAGCATGTGGGTATAAAAAAGGGTAAAAAGATGGCAAAGATCGCAAGAGAAACAGTAAAGGAGAGGGATTTTATCTTTATCCCACTCATCCTCTTCGAACTGAATGGAAAGTGTGTGTGTGTGTGTGTGTGTGTGTGTGTGTGTGTGTGTGTGTGTGTGTGTGTGTGTGTGTGTGTGTGTGTGTGTGTGTGTGTGTGTGTGTGTGTGTGTGTGTGTGTGTGTGTGTGTGTGTGTGAGTGTGTAAGTGTGTGTGTGTAAGAGTGTAAGAGTATGAGCTTTGTGTGAAAGTTCTGCTGTGCTATGAATGACCATGGCACTGACATGTGCAAGCCAAAACACACACACACTCACACACACACTACATAATGTAAACACAAAAAGAAAGCACACTGTGTACCTACATGCAACATTAAACGAGCAGACATTTATCACCACACCTGGCTCATTTATACTTTCAAACATTGAAATGTCAGCAGAATTTTCTTAAGATGTGTGCCATTGTAGCCCTTCAGCGTTAGCCATTTTGGTATTTGTGCAAGAACCACACTAGATGATGAAAACCTTTAAGTGAATGAGTCATTCGTTGAAGAAGGGAGAAGAACATCCCACCTCCCTGCTTGAGTGTCTTACCATACCATGGACCCCTGCTGATTCTCCTGCCTACCATCATCCTCTTCCTACTCTTCCCTCACATCTATACATCCCCCCTATACCTGGCCTGCACAGATCTAAACGATCCATGCTGGTTTAATGGGGTGCATGTGTACAGAAAATGGAGGGTAATTTGGAAGGCACATGCAGGGTTTGAGGGTAATTATAAGGGAATATTGTGCTACAACGTTTAGGTGTCTGTGACCTAGTGGTACAATTTGAAGGCAAATGAGAAATCCAAGGAGGACACAGTGGATGGAAATGTTCTGGATTGATGAGCAGAGCATCATAATGGGTCCATTTTTATGCAGACTACCTGCTGGGCAGCACAGTACTTTGAATTTCATAATTAATAAGATCTTACTCATTTGTTCTCATATTCGTATTAATAAGGATTTAATGAGGACTGAGGTGCTACCATGCCATGTAATTACTGTACATTAAACAATTCAGTTGCATTATTTTCACATGGTTTAAAGACTCTTACTTTTTCATTTCATCCACTCAAGTTACTTGCATGCAAAGATGAAAACAATGATACACCCACATGAACAAAAGTACAGAGAGAGCGAAAATCAAAAAGGTTAGAGCAGAACATGCAGCTCAGTGTTCTTCCTCAGGCTATATTGATGTGCAATGGAAAAAGATCCCAGAAACCTATTTACTTTCTCAACAACATGGTGTTTCATTTTCTCAGAGATACTGTGCGCTCACCTTAGCACTATCTGGTGGCAAGGGGACGGCTGGAGGGGCTCCATCAGGTGTTTGTACCCCGGGGTTGGGGCACTGAGGGTCTGCATGTTCAGGCCCCACCAACCCCGACTGAGAACAGCCACAGAGAGAGAGAGGCTCCACCTTCCTGGCAGAGATCAGGTAGGTCTTCAGGCCTGAAAAGACAGAAACAGAGAGAAAGAGAAGGATGTTACTTGCATTTGTTCTTACTCTCAGATCAAACTGGCCTGTTTTTGGCTAAGTCATCCCATGGTGTTGTTTTAGGATTCCACAGATTCAGTACAGGATGAATTCCCTCAGTGAATACCATTAGCAAGTATTCACAAAAAAGTAGAATAAGGAGATGGAGAAGCAGAAAATATCTACGAGTTGAAAAAGCCAAGGACCCATACATGAGTCATATTTGCTTCCATAAGCATATACATCAAAAATGTGTGATGCATTTGTGAAGGGTTTCAAATGTTTTTCTCTCTCTCTAGACAGATGAGCCAGAGAAGAAGTGGGAGTGCTTAAACGAAACTGAAAATCCCTTGCATCCTGGGTATTTATCCAAAAGACTTTGTCTCTAAGAAGAGTGAGCGTGCACTTACAGATTTGTGTCTTTTACAAGCTAAGAGGGCAATAGCTATAGAATGGAAAAATGTGAACAAACCAAGTATGAATAAATATATTAAGGATCTGTCAGCAGGTGTTGCTTTAGAAAAACTAATATACATTACTAAAGGAAAGCTGGCAGTTTTTGAAAATATCTGGGTGAGCTTCATCGAGTTTTTGAAAAAGAATGTTGGTAATGATCAATAAAACCAAAGACCGGGGCGGGGAGGGGGGCAACGGGAATAAGATTATAACGTGTACAAACCCCAGTCGTATTATTTCGGATTTCTTTCGGATTTCTGTACTTTGTTATCCATGTATCATCTGTATACTGACCTGTGTTTATTCATTTGATTGTACACTGTATCTGCCACCTCGACTGACCGTTTTATGTATGTGTAATGTTCATTATATTTGAAAACTTCAATAAAAATATTGTTAAAAAAGAAAAAATAACTGGGAGTACAAGAGACAATCACCACGACACCATAGCCGGACGAAGAGTTTCCTAGGAAGTCTCCCATATAAAGTTCTTAATCTTTCTAAGAAATTAAATAATGACTTTTTCACATATGTTTCCTACAGGTGCATGTACACATGCATCTATTTGCAGAGTTCCTGCATGTTGTGAGGTCCCAATGACCATGAGAGAGTAACAGTTGGAGACATAACAGGCCAGGGTCAAATATTTGAACACCTGCGTCCTCCCACTTCTATCAACATGTTATCATTTCTATCAGTACAAGGTGGGTGTGTGTGTTTGTGTGTGAGTATAAGTACCTGTGACCAAGTGCTTAGCCACATAATCTAACTGTCAGTGGAGTTTCAGCCCCTGGCTCTGAGCATTGTCTGTCTGAGTACTCTAGACAGGCCTGCCACTGCCCCCCCCCCCCTCTGCTGAACCACCCTGGGGCTGCACTGTGACACACTCTGAGACCACACATGAGTAACACAATCACACAATCGTATTTTCAATGATACACATGCACTCAAATATGTACAAACACTGATATAAGTAGCTCAAGAAGCAGAAGCAAAACACCCCCTCCAACATCCTACACACAGTGAGCTGAGCGGAGGTATAGATGGACGGCTTTGCTGTAGCTGGATCAATAGCCAGGTGGATGGAGATTCAGGGGAAGGGGAATTAAGGTGGTAACAAAGAACTAATTCCCTGCACCAGTGATGCAGAATGACACAGCAGTGAGAAGAGGCACCAGGAAACTGTGGGGGGGGGGTTTTGACTGCCAGTAAAGATGAGAATGTGTGAGTGTGTGTCAGATCCACAGACACACAATGCACACACATGGCTTTGACTGATTTCATTAGTTTGCTAATCAAATCCTTCCCTGCCTCCCTCAGTGAGTTCTTCTTGCAGGTCAATGGCTTTTAACTCTCTCTTCTGCTTTCTCTTTTCTTCTGATCTCTTTACAATACAGTGTTTTCCCTTTACCGCATTTTTTATATCTTTTTTTTTCTATTTTCAATACTGGGTTCTTACATCCGAGTCAGCGAAAGTCATGTCCATTTCAGGGCTGAAACACACACAACTACCAAAGTCTGTGAGTCACACTGTATTACTTATTAATACATTTAGAGTTTTACATAATGCAAATCCTATATTCTATTAAAGCAATAGTGCCAGCTGAGTCATAACAAATCTGCATTAGTCGGGGGAGAGAACCAAATGCACCTAAACAAAAATCACTGAACCGGCCTTTATTTTCGTGTAATGAAAAGATAATGAGGTATTTCAAGCTAGATAATGTGCGCAGCAAGCCATTACTAGGGAGAAATGTTGAAAGGCAGTGAGAGCAAATAACAATTGGTATTGGATGAAACAATAATTACCCAAAAAAAACACACAGTAATAAAATATAATTACAAACAGGTTGCCAGACATGAATACAAACTAGAAAAAAGGTGGAACACAACACTAAATATGAGAAAGGGGTCGGAACCTTAACGAAAACACACAAAAGGAAGGTGACAGGAAATCAGCTTCACCCCTCCTCATCACCTTATGGGCTTTGACCTATACAAATGGTGCTGGGTTGATTTCAGACACTTCAGAAAAGAGCAACATGGTTCATATTTACAGAAATAATCCATAGTGATCCCTTTAAAAGGTTAATGAGATTGTATGTTAGAGATTGATCACCTCTTTTGGTCAGACTGCTCGTTTCAGGAAGACTCCTGACAGCTAGAGAAGAGCATAATAAATCGACCACAGGGTTTGGAAAGGTTGACAGCAATGTATCTGTGTTTGTTTGTATGAGGGGTAACGTGAGTTCAAGTGTCTGCAGATGTTTGCGCCTGTTCTTCATGATTCTGGAAGAATCTCTCGTGTCCGTGATTCAACCTAGTGGCAGATGAAAGTGCAATGTTGTCTCGCAGTCATTTGTGGCTGTGATAAAGTGTGAGGGCCAGCAGCTGTTTCCACTGTCAACTTGTGTCCAGTATCATCAGAATACAGCTGTGCTCTAAAAGCAAGTGGGTTAGGAATCTTCAGTGTTTCTGACTATCCATTTCAGTCTGTGCACGTCTGCTTGATGATCTTGGATACAGGTTGTGTGTTTGCCTCTTCTAATCGCTGATGACCCGTGGCTAATTCAGTAGCATAACAAGTGGAAGCCTATAGACATTATTGAACTTGCAGCATACTGTCTCGTGCGATCAGCTGACGGGGAACAGTAGGTAATCTTTCCCCTCGAGAGCCCAGTCACATTATCTCCCTCTCCAAGCCCTTTTGTTCAGGACAGAGGAAAGTGACATGAGAAAAAGCACGTTGCAACTAAATAACACCATCACCTCTGCTTTTCCCTTACTCTTCCCACTCCAAAACATGTCCACTCTCTTGTGGGACAATAGCTGTCCCTGAACACCTCTCTGAACGATGCTAAGAGGGGCTCATTGCAGAGGCTATTGTGCTATACCCAATGTTGGATGTAATAATTTGTGACTGCAGTGGTCATTTCAAAAACTGCCAGAATAATCTTTCATCAGCCTCCAAAAGGGACAGACAATTAGCTGGAAGGTAACAGTGACTTTTTCCTTTGACCACCAAATTCTAAAGAAATCCCCTCACTGCAGTCCTGAGTTATCACGCTTACGAAAATGAGTAGGACAGATGTACTGGACAACCTGAAAACATAACCACTCCTCAGCTATTGCTAGTGTGGAGGCATAACCATAATCTAATTTTAACTTGAGATACACAACAGAACAAGATATATTGGCAAGATACTCTGTTTAAGAAAGCACATGGATGCTACAAGTATACATATTTAACCGTTTGGTCATTTATCTCAAAGTTTCTCCTTTGCTTTCAAATTCCATTTACAACCAAAGTGGGGACAGAGCAGATAATGCTGCTGTCCCATGGAGGTTTACTAAAAGCAGCGAAGCACAGAGGGCAACAGAGAGGGAAGTTGGCAGATATGCTTGGATCAGCACACACACACACAAACAAACAAAAATATATTGTGTGCCTTATCTTCTGATAATGACAGGTTTGCCTTCCACGGCCAGGTATGGGAGCAGGAGGGCAGTGGAGCAGATGGTGCAGAGAAACTAGCATGCTAGACAGGGCATCTCTGTATGCAAGCTGGCACCGCCGGCCAGGAGCCACCACCGTCTCTCTCCACTGCGTCTCCTTCCTGGGATACACTCTACATCCTGTCCCTGTCGGGGGGGTTGAAGAGGGCAGGAGGAACAGAAGGAAACCTGTCCTGAACGAAAGGCTGTTTAGGAAGACTTTATTATGGCATGGTTCGCAAAAAGATAGTAGGGATTGCAGAGATATCGGTAAATATTCGAGCGAGAGAAGTGGAGGCTAGAATGAGTCTGTGAGTTGTTTGGTAGAGGTGGTGAATTTCTTTGTGCTGTCTAACAGTGAACCCATTCAGTCAGACATCATGAAAGACACATACATTTTTCATAGGAAACCGCTAAGGGACTCACACTGTCCTTTCTGATTCTGAAGGAGAAGCAGAGTTGTTGTGTCTCCTGAGCCGTGGACAGGTGGGAGGGGGGGAGGCAGCAGTTGACCTTCTATTTTTCTTTTCTTTTCAACAGCTACTCCCTTATGCTGAGCCCAGGTTACTTTTAAGGCATTGAAGGGCATGTAAGAAAATGAGCAGACATATTCACAGTGTTAAATTAGGTCAGTGTCTCCTCTCAATGCCAAGCAGACATGTCTGACTGTCTCATGAATAATATAGAGACAAGATTTTACACTTTGCTCCATTTACTACAGACAATAACAAGTGCTACGAGTACAAATGTTAATACTTTTTCATATATATTATTATCCTATGGGCTTTTTCAAGGGGTTTTAAAATATTTTGGTTGGGAAGCACTGCAGTAAAGCTAGCCTCTGCATGGAAGACAAAACTGTTGTGTAAGGTATCAAACTGGACCAAACCGAAGTCGTGGCTATGAACACGTCAAACTCACTGAAGCGCAGCTAAACCAACAGAGTTTTTTTTTCACAAATATCCCAGATAACTCACAGTGAGCTCTCAGCAAGAGTTACATAAGCTGTAAATAAACTGCAAGT